TTTTTTTACATATATATACATATGCTCGACCCACAACTTAGACCCGAGCCTATAAGCACTCATGTCCCCGAATGATATTCATTAACGAGATAATGACAGAGGAGTGTCGGGACTTTTCTAAACACTGAGATGGACGATACGATTTTAAGATGGCTAAATAAGATGATAGAAAATCTTTCCATTGTTCTAAATATTAATCTACCCCATATTCTAACTAATTCTATCACAGGATCAATCTATCAAGTTGAATGTCTTCGACAATCCGTTCTATCCTTATGATCTTTTAAGACAGTTTGCAAGATGTCTCAAATCAATCTAATTCTAATGATTCAAGATATTTTTTTTTTACACAGACAAATATAGATATATATATATATATAATATCCTGAAAAAAAAATGACTATCGATGTATATGACTATCGAATCTCTCCCTCAGACTTGAACTGAACACCGTCTCGGTGTTAGTTCACCTTGTGGTTAAAAAACGATTTATTCGTGCAGGAAAGAATGGAGAAGGGAAAAGACTTAGCTTGTTTTTGTGGAGCATCATTCTTGGCGTTATTCACTCGTTCTCGCCTGTGAGTATGGTGTTGAGTTGTTCTTCTTTGTTGTTTCCATCTGAACTTAAACAGAAAATTCATCCACACACAATATATACAAGAAATCTTAATAAGCAAACCACACTTTGAAAAGCAAACAGTAAAGGATATGTGATCGGGCTCCCTCCCGTCAAGGGCTCGTTTAGGGTCATGAGCTTGACCTTCTTCGTTCAGTTCTCGGATGGGTCGGAGAGAGGAAGTACACCTCTCTTGTTGGTCGGAAATATCGAGTTGTGTAGCTTGACCCCCGAGGTATTGACCTCAAATGTTCGTACACCTTGCCATTCATCAAAGTTTTCGAGATTTAGCTTGCTCGAGGACGAGCAAAACGCTAAGTCTGAGGGAGTTTGATGACATATAAATATTGTCATATTTTCACATTGGATGTCTAGCTCATTTCACGATATTTTGCATATTTATAGATATCCCTTGTACATTTTATTT